AAATCACTTTCTCCGATTTCTGCAGGTTTCTATCGACATCCAGCGCCATCCATTATCCCCCCCCCCTTCAACCCCCGGTTCCCCACGCGTCCCCCAAGATCGTTGGGTAGAGGAAACATCAAAAAAATCTCATTTTGAAACTCTGTCTCTGAGAGGGGGCGTCGCTCTCGGTAACAATTAGCACAGACGTTTATAATTTTAAAGATAATTATTTTCGTAATTGAGCTGGAATACACTAATTGACATGTCTCAGTAATGAGTTACGTGGTTCAGTCGAGAACTTGACACCGTAGGGCAAAGGTCAGCAACCTTTGGCACGCGTGCCAGACTTAGCATGCAGAGTGCTTGTCTATGGTGCGTCACGGGAATCGAAGAAGAAAGAAAAAAAGTTAAATAACAAAATAATGAGAGAGAGAGAGAGCACCTCCTCAGTATGGTCAATTAAAGTTAAAGATTTTCGAGAAATATCTTAAACTAGTACGAATGCTCGTGTATCTTCCTAGATATCACTGCCTAATAATTTCAATTGCATAAAGAAATTAACTTTTACACTGCTATCAGCACTTGGATCTACATACTAATGTTAGCAGATCTTTTCACAAATGCATTTTTTTCAGTTACAGAGATGACTATGTTTCATCTATGTTATGCATGTGTAATAAAATACATTTTACTTTAGTTGCAATGGTCACTATTTAACTTCCATAGCCTATACAGTGCTGAAAATAAAACAATGGCATTAATTATAAACTGGTACACCATATTCAGACCCTGCCTTAGGGTATACACTGAGCGACTTCGGAAAATTCGGTCTCTATAAAATGCGTAAATTCTAATTAGTTAATCATTATCATTTTATAATTGAGTTCACTCCCTTTTTTATCTTCATACTGTTAATTACATTTCTAGAATGAGTTCTTATTAACCCATTGCCGCCGGGGAAAATGAACAAAAAATGGGGGAAATGTAGTACTCATTTTTTGTATTTTTGTGAAATATTTCTGTCCATAGATGGCTCTGCTAGTCCTGATTTCACCTTTCCTTGAATTAGCGGGAAAAACGTATTTTTACTGTGCTATAAATATAGATGGTGTCATTTTTAAAAGCAAATTAGGATAACGTTAAATATTTTCGTAAATCGATGAAAAGGGTGAACGGGCGAGACAGGCAGTACTCGTAATTGGCTCACTGGATACTTAGTACGAGTGTAGCCATCTATGTGTAAAAACAATCGAACAAGTCGACTCACAGTGGGCATGGCATGTACGTACATGCCATCCCCGGCGGTAATGGGTTAAATGCAGGCCTATTGTCGCAATATTAACCTAGCATAAGTACTATGCAATGGTCATACATAATGACAATTAATCATCAAGGAAAATCCTCTTTATGTTCATCGATTCCAGTTCCAATCTCTTTAACTGATTTTATGGGATAAATCCATTATTACAGCCATTATATATGCGGTTTTATCAACTATTGCATTTGATCCAGCTGTTTAATGAGCAATTTTTCCTTACTCGTGTTCCCTTTCATCGTGGTTTCTTTATTGATGTTTTTTTATTGTAAAGCGTTTGTATTAATCTGGAAATAGATTATTCTTTTTATTCCAAAATCCGAAAGCCATTGGGAACGTTTTTAAAATCGCCCTCAAACAATATTGATCGCAATTCTTAAATATGGTTGCCTAATCGTAATCCCCCAGTATGATAAAATGTGTTTAATAGTCTTCGTATATCTAGATGCTTGTACCATTTCCGTAACATTTTTCTTTGATAGTTTGCCGTCATTTGCGTTTACATTCGTTTGATAGTGGCCCTCCCCCCCCCCTGCCTTTTCCAAAGTCTATTTCACTTAGGAATCTTAAAAAAAAAAAAACATCTAAAACCTACCTTTTCATGTACATTCGTTTGATACCCCCCCTTTTCCAAAGTTCATTTCACTTGGGAATCTCAAAAAAAAAAAAAGTCTATAATTTACCTTTTCATGTAAATTCGTTTGATAGCCCCCCCCCCCTCTTTTTCAACGTCTATTTCACTTAGAAAAAAAAAACGTCTATAACCTGCCTTTTCATGTACATTCGTTTGATTGCCCCCCCCCCCTTTTCCAAAGTCTATTTCACTTGGGAATCTCTCTAAAACAACTGTCTATAACCTGCTTTTTCATGTACATTCGTTTGATAGTCCACCCCCCCCCCCTTTCCAAAGTCTATTTGACTCAGGAATCTCTCAGAAAAAAAAACTGTCGATAATTTACCTTTTCATGTAAATTCGTTTGATAGCCCCCCCCCCCCCTCTTTTTCAACGTCTATTTCACTTAGGAATCTCTAAAAAAAAAAAAAAAAAAAAACTGTCAATAACCTGCCTTTTCATGTACATCCGTTTGATAGTCCACGCCCCCCCCCCCCTTTCCAAAGTCTATTTTACTTCGGCATCTCTCAAAAAAACCGTCTTAAACCTACCTTTTCATATACATTCGTTTGATAGTCCCTTTTTCCAAAGTCTGTTTCACTAAGGAATCTAAAAAAAAAAAAACGTCTAAAACCTACCTTTTCCTATACATTCGTTTGATAGCCCCCCCCCCCTATTCCAAAGTCTATATCACTAAGAAATCTCTCAAAAACAACTGTCTATAACCTGCCTTTTCATGTACATTCGTTTGATAGTCCCTTTTTTCAAAGTCTATTTCACTAAGGGATCACTCAAAAAAACGTCTATAATCTACCTTTTTATGTACATTCGTTTGACAGTCCCCCCCCCCATTCCAAAGTCTATATCATTTAGGAATCTCTCAAAAACAACTGTCTATAACCTACCTTTTCATGTACATTCGTTTGATAGTCCCCCCCCCCCCTTTCCAAAGTTTATTTCACTAAGGAATCTCTCAAAAAAAAACGTCTAAAACCTACCTTTTCATATACATTCGTTTGATAGCAGCCCCCCTTTCCAAAGTCTATTCCACTTAGGAATTAAAAAAAAAAAAGTCTATAACATACCTTTTCATGTACATTCGTTTGATAGCCCCCCCCCCCTCTTTCCAAAGTCTGTATCACTTACGAATCTCTCAAAAACAACTGTCTATAACCTACCTTTTCATGTACATTCGTTTGAGGATTGTTCCTCTTAACTGTCTATATTTCACTTCCTAATGTCTTTTATGTTCCAATTCGTACAAAGTTTTGGCAATGAGTCTGATCATCTTAGATTTATTGTCTTTTTTTTATCTCTCTTTGATCTTTTCTTCTCTCTTCTCTTCTTCCATTGTCATTTACACTTTTATTTGCTACTTAATTCTTCTTGAACGTGGTTGATTATATTTCGCATCCCTTCCCTTTCCTGGATGATTCAGACTGTTTGTATCTTTAATAATGATTATGAGTTATTTGCGTTCAGGATTTGCATAATTATATATTTTTTGCGTGGAGGTGAGGTCGCCCAGATGTTTTATAATGGTTGTTGTGAATATATTTTTTTAATGATTTTGTTCATTATAACTTTTTTTTATGTCTTTTCAAACTTAATTTATTCGCAGTATAACCTCTACTAATAAAAAAAAATGATTGGCTCTAAAACAGCTGCGATCACGTAATTTCTGCTTAATTTCTGCTCTTTTTTCGAACCTAATCTGATTATGTAAACCACTTGTTCTAGACAATTTGTCATTTTACTGTCATTAAAACTCTTCTGGATGTCGCTTTGTCTAATTAACGACAGTCCATCCCCCCCCCTCTCTCTCTCTCTCTCTCTTTCTTTCTTTCTTTCTTTCTTTCTTTCTTTCTTTCTCTTTCTCTTTCTTTCTTTCTCTTTCTCTTTCTTTCTTTCTCTTTCTTTCTTTCTCTTTCTCTTTCTCTTTCTTTCTCTCTCTCTCTCTCTCTTCAAAAACAATTACATCATATTTTGTTATAATTATTAGGCATGTTACAGTCAACGCAATTTTTTTTACAGATTAAAGGAATTCATTTTTAGTAACTCCTATGTTAGTTTAACCTCAACTCATTGCGCCACGTATTCATGTCCTATAACACATAATATACAAATCATATAATTATCTATTAGTGGTCTTTAGGCACACGTGTGATTGCATTTGAAAGATTGTAAGGACTGAGCTTCCACATCTCCTGTGTTGAAGGTTGTCGAGGTTCAGTTGGTACTGTTGAGTCCTGGTTTCGATTATTTTTTTTCGGTCTTGTATTCCATCCATCCATTTTGAGGCTTGTGATATTTGCTTCTCCCCACATAAGTCAGGAGTACTCGAGTGAAAAGCGAGTTTTTGCTTTATAAAGGAGCTCCTTCCCTTCACCGTCCACCAGCCAGCTGATTTTTCCTAGGGATGCGAGTGTCTTCGAAGCGCTTCTCGCCATACTTTGTGTTACTTTTGAAAGACTTTTTTGTCGAAAGATCTGCCATATATTCCCCCAAATCGAGATTTGTGCGAGTCTTTCATTTAGCTCTTCCATGGCGGCATCCTGTTCCCTGAGCTCATTCCTAAAGGAGTGTGTTCCATCATCCGTACATGCATTGGCTTCATGAATGAGGTGGAGCAAGTCATTGAGGAAGACATTCCATTGCAGAGGACCCACTATGCTTCCTTGAGAAGACACCTGCTTTGGTGTCGTAGTAAGCCGTGTGTTTTCCATTGAGAACTCTCATTTGTCGAGTAGATAATTTTTCAAAAGGACCAGGAGTTCAGCGCCCACTCCAGACTTCTAACTTACTTATCAAACCTAGGTGCCATACTCATAGGCTCCTTCTATGTCCAAGGCAAGAACGCCAGTGCGCTGTTCGCCGTCAAGTGCAGCTGACTAGTTTGCAGTTATCTATAACAGCAGATCGGCAGCAGAGCGGTTCTTCCAAAAGTCATATTGACGGATAGACATGTTTTTTGTTGTTAGGTGGGAAGATATTCTTTTTATTTTTTATTAGATATTATTTTGACAAGGAAACTGGCCAGTAATTTTTTTGACTGGATTTGTCCCCCTTTTTTTAAAGATGGGGATAGCATTACTTTGTTTCCAAAGTGTGGCCCATTTGCAGAAGCTTAAGCATGTGTTGAAATTTAAAGTTAACACCGTCAGGTCCTGTAGCTTTTCTTGTGTCTGTATTGCGCAGGAGCTTCTTCACTTCTCTCTCGCTGGTTGTAATCCTGTTTAGTTTCTCATTACTCAAAATGGGAAGTGTGGGTGGCTTTTGCTCAGGAGAAGGAGCTATCATTTTACTTGAGAAATGTCTTTCTCTTTCTTTTTGTCTTTTTCTCTTTCTCTCTCTGTCTCTTTCTCTCTTTGTCCCCCTCTCTCTTTCTCTCTCTTTGTCCCCCTCTCTCTTTCTCTCTCTTTGTCCCCCTCTCTCTTTCTCTCTTTGTCCCTCTCTCTCTTTCTCTCTTTGTCCCTCTCTCTCTTTCTCTCTCTTTGTCCCCCTCTCTCTTTCTCTCTCTTTGTCCCCCTCTCTCTTTCTCTCTCTTTGTCCCCCTCTCTCTTTCTCTCTTTGTCCCTCTCTCTCTTTCTCTCTTTGTCCCTCTCTCTCTTTCTCTCTCTTTGTCCCCCTCTCTCTTTCTCTCTCTTTGTCCCCCTCTCTCTTTCTCTCTTTGTCCCTCTCTCTCTTTCTCTCTCTTTGTCCCTCTCTCTCTTTCTCTCTCTTTGTCCCTCTCTCTCTTTCTCTCTCTTTGTCCCTCTCTCTCTTTCTCTCTCTTTGTCCCTCTCTCTCTTTCTCTCTCTCTCTTTCTCTCTCTTTGTCCCTCTCTCTCTTTCTCTCTCTTTGTCCCTCTCTCTATTTCTCTCTCTTTGTCCCTCTCTCTCTTCTCTCTT